GCGTTGACTGCCATATCGTCTGCGTAAAGGTCCAACTGAGCACTTGTATACAAGGGCAAATCGTTAATAAACAAAATGAAAAATAAAGGATCTAAAATACTGCCCTGAGGGACTCCATGCAACATCAAAGCTTCGCTTGACTCACTCCCATTTACACGGACAATTTGCTTCCGATCCGACAAATAAGAGTGAAACCAGGCAAGCTCCCGGTTGACTATACCGTACAGCTCCAACTTGCGCAACAATAGCTTATGGTCCACCATGTCATGTCGAAAGCCTTTCGATAATCGACCAGGACCATGCCGCATACATGATTGTTATCTAAGCCGAACAAAAGCTCGTCAGCTAACTTAATTAGAGCAGTCTCGGTACTGTACATCCCACGAAACCCAGACTGTCTAGTATACAACAAGTTATTATCCATAAGAAAAGCTTATAAAGAATTGTGCACGTTCGATTACTTTTGAGACCACTGGTAGCACAGAAATCGGGCGATAATTAGACGGATCACTATTACCTACGAAGCTAAAAAAATATATGAAGTGAGCTGAAGACGATGATTGTATAGATTAAAAATCATTTGACCATCAGTCTCCGGATTAATTTTGTTCTCGTGCCGAATGGTTAATTATATACTCACAACTGGTAAGTGCCCGCGGGAAATCAAAGTGGTATGTGAGACTGTAATATCATTCTCAAAATTTGAAGAACTAGAACCTATTGCCGTGGGAACAAAAATAGTTCCTCATCTAAAAATGTTGAGCTCAAGACTTAAACATATGGCAAATAGGAAAAAGAAAATAGAACTCTCTGAGAGGGCACTAAAGTCTTTAAGTTCTTATCCTGGTAACCTTTGGACCCTTGGTGACATGTGCCTTGACCACAGTGAGTTTGAAGCAACGCAAATCTATTATGAGTTCCTATTAAAAATGATTGAAGGTGGGGACCTGACTAACTCAGCTTGTTACAACAAATTGGGTATTGCACATAGTGAGCTGGTCAAAACAGATAAAAAAAAGACTACTATGAGCGTGTACTGGAGATTTTTCTGAAAAAGCAGGGACCTGAACATGGTGATGTTGCAGCCTGTTACAACCATTTAGGTAGTTCACACAGTGCCTGGGCGAAATAGACCAAGCAAAAGACTACTATGAGCGAGCACTGGAAATTCATCTGAAAATGCTGGGACCTGAACATGTTGATGTGACAGCCTGTTACAACGATCTGGGTGGTTTGCACAGTGACCTGGGCGAGACAGATCAAGCTAAAGACTACTATAAGCGAGCACTGGAGATTCGTCTGAGAAAGCTGGGACATGAATATGTTGATGTTGCAACTTTGTACAATAATCTGGGTAGTTTACACGGTGACCTGGGTGGAACAGATAAAGCAAAAGACTATTATAAGCGTGCACTCGCGATTCGTCTGAAAAAGCTGGAACCCGAACATGTTGATGTCGCAGACTGTTACAACAATCTGGGTGATTTACACAGTGACCTGGGCGAAACAGATCAACCAAAAGACTGCCATAATCGTGCACTGGAGATTAAACTGATAAAGCTGGGACCTGAACATGTTGATGCCGCACTCTCTTACAACAATCTGGGTGTTTTACACGTTGCGCTGGGCGAAACAGATCAAGCAGAAGACTACCATAAGCGTGCACTGGAGATTCGTCTGAAAAAGCTGGGACATGAACGTGTTGATGTCGCAGCGTGTTACAGCAATCTGGGTATTTTACAAAGTCACCTGGGCGAAACAGATCAAGCAAAAGACTACTATAAGCATGCACTGGAAATTCGTCTTAAGAAACTGGGACTTGATCATGTTGATGTCGCAACCTGTTACAAAAATCTGGGTAGCTTACACAGTGCGCTGGGCGAAACAGATTAAGCAAAAGAATACCATAAGCGTGCACTGGATACTCGTCTCAAAAAGCTGGGACATGAACGTGTTGATGTCGCAGCGTGTTACAGCAATCTAGGTATTTTACCTAGTCACCTGGGCGAAACAGATTAAGCGAGATACTACTATAAGCGTGCACTGGAAATTCCTCTTAAGAAGCTGGGACCCGATCATGTTGATGTCGCAGCCTGTTACAACAATCTGGGTAGTTTACACAGTGCGCTGGGCGAGACAGATCAAGTAAAAGAATACCATAAACGTGGACTGGAGATTCGTCTGAAAAAAGGTGGGACCTGAACATGTTGCTGTTGCAGCCTGATACAACAATCTGGGTAGGTTACACATTGTGTTTGGTGAAATGAGTCAAGCGAAAGACTCCTATAAGCGTGCACTGTAGACTCGTCAAAAAAAGCTGGGACCTGAACATGTTAATGTTGCAGCCTCTTACAACAATCTGGGTGTTTTACACAGTCACCTAGACGAAACAGATCAACCAAAAGACTACCTAAAGAGTGCACTGGAGATTCGTCTGAAAATCTGGGACCTAAACATGTTGACGTTGCAGCCTCTTTCAACAATCTGGGTATTTTACACGTCGCGCTGGGCGAAACAGAACAAGCAAAAGAGTACTATAAGCGTGCACTGGAGATTCTTCTGAAAAATCTGGGTGCTGAACATGCTGATGTTGCAGCCTCTCACAACAATCTGGGTACTTTATACAGTGCACTGGGCGAAATAAGTGAAGCAAAAGACTACTATAAGCGTGCACTGGAGATTCGTCTGAAAAAGCTGGGACCTGAACATGTTGATGTTGCAACCTCTCAACAATCTGGGTACTTCACACAATGAGCTGGATGAAACAGATCACGCGAAAGAGCACTATAAGCGTGCGCTGGATATTAGTCTGAAAAAGCTAGGACCTGAACATAATTTATGTTGAAGCCTCCTACAATAATCTAGGCACTTTACACAGTATGCTGGGCGAAACAGATCAAGCAAAAGACTATCATAAGCTTGCACTGGAGATTCGTCCGAAAAAGCTGGGACCTAAACATGTTGATGTCGCACATTCTTACCACATGCTGGGTTGTGTGCACAATGACCTAGGCGAACTCAAAGAGGCCAGTATTGTCCTGATCGTGCACTAGCAATTTATATCTCTAAGTATGACCAAGATCACGTGAACGTCCTAAAGGTCAGGAAGAACCTATTTCAGCCACAACAGAAAAGGAAGAGAGTCGAGGATCATGAAGCTGTTTAGAAAAAGAAGAAAAGATATACGTGTTGATGGTCTAGCAGCTGTGTATTCTTATAGACGGTGAAGGCCTTTGACTTAATCACTATACTTGGTATTATTTGAGCTTTTTCTAATCATTTTCGAAAACTCTTGAAAGCGGACATGGTTTTTTCTTTTATCACTGTCGAAGCGTTTTCAAAGGACGAAGATTTGTTAAAGTTTCTGAAAGAGGTAAATGTGAGTCTTAGGCCCGGTTCAAACGTCGAAATTTACATATGCCGAACCTAATTAGGCTCGGCACATGTAAAGCTCGACGTTTGAGTCAATTATGATCGACGCTTTTGTATTAGGGTCGACTCTGCCGTTCTATTCGACTGAGCTTGTCGAATAGAAGGGCAAAAGATCGACTTCGATTCATACGTGGATCTTCACATGTGCCCTGCTTAAACACGAAGGAGCGCTATATAAGGAAGTCTTCCCTGGGAAGACCTAGGCTCATTTGTCACTCACCGTTGACGTGTGCAGGTCAGATTTAAATGCTGGTAGACGTACAAAAGGAGCTAATGAGATATCTATTGTTACTTCCACCAGCATGGTGGCATGAGGTAACATGCGAACCACCTACTTCGATCTCAAGTTTACGGCCACAAATGAAGACAGTTTCCATTGGAGAAAGGAAATAAAAATCTCAAAAATGCTTGTATTGTGATGAAGACATAAAACAATTTTGAGGAATGCGCTCGATGTTCACTGCTTTGGAGTAGCTGTAGCTCAAGCTGACTTGACTCTAAGAGTTCCACATCACACGACGGTTGATTGACAAATGGTCCAGTGGGACCTAAGGCTCCTTTTATAGCGCGCCTTCGTGTTTAATGCATACATTATGAATATATTAAATTAGTAATTTTTTTTCCCACAATCCCACTAGCTTTTAGGTAGTTGCCATGCGCATAAGATTACATTGGGAAAAAATGGCGGGGAAAGAGGAACAATCTTGTTCTTCGTGCCTAAAGAATACAAAATATACTTGTTTGAGGTGCAAGGAATACTTCTGTATGCCCTGTTCTGTTTTCGAGAACGATGAAACTGTCTGGGGCTGGAAAATGGGCAGTTCAGTAGCATATTGGGAGCCAAGTTTCAGAAAAGCTGGCCGTTAAAGACTGTAGATACGCCTACAGCTGCCATCTCTACAATGGTATATAAATAATCTCCGCGGCCTAATCGATATAAACAAAGCGCTAGCCTTAGTTCTGGGGGAACTGGATCCTCTGTCACTGTTCTCTAGGAAGAAATGGGCCAATGCGATTTAATATCTATCTGAACGTTGACCGAGAAATCCGAAATGTTTTCTTGAATCTTGCCTCCGAATAATTGTTCCAAGCCTTCTCCTACCATCCAGTGTTTCTGCTCAACCGACGAAAGGAGCGAGACAGAGGAGGGATATTGTTTAGTTGCGATGAAATAAACAAGAAAACAAGAAAACAAGCAGTCGAAACTCTCCTCTTCCGAGCAACTAGGTGGTTTAACGCCATTTGCATGTTAAGGCGCCTTCTTCGCCCTTCATGGACGGCATTAGCGATGAGAAATTCTTTCGAGTTGTTTCTGGCGCGAATTTTCCGAAAACTACACCATGTTGAATCCTCTTGGGTTCATATCGGTAACAGCTGAAAGTAATGGTTTTATTTTGTTGTTCGGCAGTTAGGTTCGACTGCATTAGGTTCGACGTCTGAATCAACCGTCGAACTTAATTATTTGGGTCGACCCAAATAAGTATTAGGTTCGGCACATGTAAAGTTCGACGTTTGAACCGGGCCTCAATTGTCTTCATGTGAATCACTTAACAGTCATACCATGGCAAGATAAAGCCTGATTTAAACTCCCTTGTTTGTGTGTTTATTCTACAATCAACAAGTGCAGTTTTCATCTTATTGGTCATAAAATTTTTATATGCTGGAAAATGACATTGATATTAGTTGAGGTTCGCTTTTAAGAGGGGCCTATTATATGTGAAAAGCAGTTGACATATGACATCCACAGAGCCACTGTTAAGGAAGTATCACATGTGGTAGTGGAATCGCAGAAAACAAAGTGCAACATTGTATAGGAGAAAAAGAGGTGAAAGTGGGGGTACAAGGGATATATTTGGTATGCTTAATACTCAAGGAGACTATTATTTCAATGGTAATTTGTTGACAATTTTCTTGCTGATTGTATGTACATTTTGTATATACCTGGTTGATTTTTTGGCAAAACGAAGTTTGATAATCATGATTTAACGTTCTGCTCTGAAAACAAAACAAAAGAAATGGAACCTTAAGTCTTGTGGTTTTCGATCTTTTACAGTAGCTGCTCCCTTTTTATGGAACTCCTTACCTTTAGAAATCAAGTCTTCGCCCAGTTTAGATATTTTTAAATCTTAACTGAAAACACACCTTTTTGAATGCGCTTTTAATCTAAATTAGATAACTTAATCTTTTGTTTTTATATTTCTAAGTCATACTGTAATACAACGGATGTGAAGCGCTTAGAACGCATGCGAAGAGGCGCTATATAAGTGTTATTATTATTATTATTATTATTATTATTATTGTTATTATCTACTATCCCTGGTTTTCAACTGAGAGACCAGTAGGATAACCAGTTGTCTATGGCATCTCTCATGCTCACTAAAACTATAAACACCTTTTTTTATTCTTACATAGCCATCAGTTAGAAGCAAAGTGAATAAAGGTCTTATGACAAGTTTATTACAAGCTGTGGATGATTTTCAACATCGTTATATGCCACAAGGTAAAAAATGTTGAAATTGGTTTTCTTCTAATGTTTTTTGTTTGAATAGCTTTGATTTTTTCTTATTTTAAGTCTGTATTTAGTAGAATTATTATCATATTACAGCATTATCAAAATTTAGGACTACATACGGTGTTCACAAAAATGATCCCATTCAGGCTTGTAATAATACATGAACTGTAGCCTGTGATGTGGTACAGAGAGATCAGTGGTTCTTTGATACACATTTTTCCACCTGCAAGATGATTTCAGATAGGTTCAGGAGAGATACGCCGGGGCTCTACAGGGCTTGACACTGACTAACTTTTCAACTTACTAGCCAAGCGGCTAATGACATCTTAGATGTTACAACAATTTCAGTTTGTTTACTAGCCAAACCCAGGCTTGCGGAAATCGAAAACCACCAGCCAAAATTAAATTTCTACCAGTCTGTGGCTAGTTGGCTACCGTTAGTGTTGAACCCTGGGTCTGTAACTAGTTATAATGAGAGACTTTCAGGTGTTTCATTAACCTTTTCCATAAGCCAGTAACCAGCTTCTGTAGAAATCCTTGGGCCTTCCTTATCAGTGTTAAACCACTTGCCCTTACCGATCAACCTCTCACCAGCTCATGTTGCTGCAGACCTCATTCTTTCCTGTGGGCACAGTGACAGACTTTATCTAACGCCAAATCGATATGCTAACAGAAGTCTATTACAATTGAAGTAAACTAAATGCACCAAAGCCAGACACGAAAACCCCTAAAAACCAGCAGGTGGAAAAAATGGAGAACGTGTACCCCCGACCAAGGCAGCGGTGCCACCCTTAGGGTTTTAGGGTATCCTATGAATGACATTTTTACATAGTTATACTTAAGGTACTATGCAAGTGCCGCTCTAAATTTATGCAAAAGATTAAAACGAAAACGAAAACGAGGAGCCACACACGTTGAAGGCTGACCGTGGAATGCCTTGCCCTACTAATGACCTCTACTTATGAACCATGATCCCATAACTCTCCGCGAACCTCGCAGCCACCCCCGTCCTCAGATACGTGCCGGGAAAATATTAATTTATGCTAAGTAGGAGAGCCACAAATTACATTTCTGTTCTCTTCCCATGCTGTAGGAGATGCTTATCCGTCGTAGGTGTCAACTGGTAGAGTTTGAGAACGCAACAAAAGCCCGGGAAAAAGCCAAACCTAAGAACCAAGAAGCAGTAAGATCCTAAAAAACTTGTCTTTGATATGGTACTTCTGATTTGCACTTAGTGTTTAATAGTTTTGGCGCCAGAGCGTTGTCCCAAGGGAGTCTGAGGATCAACCCCTCCTTTTATTTAAAGTCGCGAAGAATCCAATATTCAAAATAAAGGTTAGCAAGAGATAACGTAAAGATCTATAAGATGTATGGAATGCCCTACGAATTGTAAGTTACATTTCATTGAACTCTCAAATGTTATTGTATATTTAAAAAAAATCTAAATTTGTTTTATTGTTTGATTTGCTTCCTCTGGCAACCAGTGCAAAAATAAACGGCAACCATACATCTGTAACCTTCAAAGCTACAGTAACGCTTCAAAACGAAAGCGCGGATCAACTTCTCCCTCGTTCTTTTGCACGTAATGGAGTATTTCCCTTATACATGATTCATGTAGGGATGCACTTATACTTGCAATAGACATTAATCACTAGAAGGTCTCGTTGAGGTTCTGAAGAGTGATGTCAAATGCTAGAATGGAAGACTACCAAATTGGTTTTGTGCATTTTATATTGTCAGCTTCAAAAAGCCAAAAAAGATACAGAGGAAGCATAATTTCAATCTCAGAAGCTGTAAAGAAAGAGGTAAATAATAATACTGGTAATAATGATATATAGAAGGATTTTTTTTTAACTTATC